TTTAGCTGTTGAACAAACGCTAATTTTGTCGTTTTCTTTGCTTTGCAGATGTTTGCACTCCATGCAGCAGTCCACCTGTGTTTATCTGCAGAGCGGATGAACGAAAACAAGGGGACGAGAATTTTATTCTCTCTCAACTCATGTAGCAATAATGGCTCCGCCAACAGAGACTTTGTTGCAGTGTTACAATGTCTAAACGGTGCAATTTTATATTTTGCTTTTGTTTTAACTGTGTAGAGGGCTAGGCCACACTGCTCTAAATAGACTGGAGCGATACTGTTTGTTTTATTTTTTTAAATATACTAACTTATTTTATTTATGTTCATAATAGTTGGTTCTTCTTTATTATTTACAGCTATTGTTATTGCTTTTATTATTTCGGCCATATTTTATGTTGTATTTTATTTAAGTTTTTGTTTGCAACAACATGCAAGAATGTTTCTGAGCCATGTTTGTTAAAATATATTCTGTAGCTCACGCTGTACCTTTGAATCAAAGTGTAAATTAAATTATATTTTTGGTAACCTGGTTGTATTCACGTGTGTTCCTGTGAAAGTCATGTATACTACTGTTCAACTACATAATTGTGGATCATGATGTGGGTAAATGGCAAAAAAAAAAAAATGTTAGCCCTTCACTTTTGAGGCGTCAACATTTTGCCTGTGACAAAAAGATTAAAGTTTGGCCTCTAAACAGGAGGGACTCAGCTGTTCCGCCCTCGGTGTTTGTGGGGAGGGATATGCTGGCAGCTGCGTGCTATAGGGAGGATTTAAATGCCATTTTCTTTCCATAATGAAGGAGGCAGGTGCCCTTGGAACCCTGCTTTGTCCACATAAGACCTTCATTTTCAGCACCCTCTCAGCTATCCCGCTAATGAAACACTTACCAAGACTTGAACAAAATGGGCTCCTTCTATTTACACGCCAACCACCTGCCTCCCCTCCCCCTTACCTACACACTATCTGTGAATAACATTTACTATAGATACCACCACACGCCAGATCTTTATAATATCATTGAGACAGGAGAAAAGCTAAAGGGAAAAGAAAGAGAACAAAAAGGACAGACAAAATAGTGACCAAAACGGTAAACCGTTAATATATATGGTATAACCAAAATATTAAAGCTAGAATATTTTGTTAGTCTATCCAGTTAGAGAGATATATATATATATATATATATATATATATATATTGACTGAATCGATTAATTTGACCATAGGTTATTTAGAGTAGGCTATCTTAAATGCATAGCTCGTTGATTTCGCCGATCTCAAATGACGAAAAAAAGCAACAACAATCGACGTAAAAATAATATCAATGTTATGAACAGCTACGTTTGTAATTACTAGAGTAATATTTTTAAAACTTTGATAAACTTGGAAAGGAAGGATACAGCGCTGCCTGCACAATATGGAAAAGGTTTAGCTTATTCTTTGGATTTTACACGAACTCGAGAAACATTGGGATTTTGAAAAATCTGATTTTATCAGACAAAAAAATCGAATAAATCTTCTGAAATATGCTCATCAACGAATTGTACACATTACCCCGATTTTTTTTCCTCTAATTTGCGTCGTTCACATTTGGTATATGTGAAGAGCACCAGTGTTTCGCCAGATATAACCTTTCTCTAAAGAAGTTTCCCATTTCCATGACCATCTGGCACCAAAAAAGGCGAAATAGAACAAAGGCCGCTAAAGGCGTAAGGCGAAGCGAGTGCCATCGCATTCACCTGCAAATGAGGCTTTGTGCTCTCATAGCAGCACTCGGTGCTCACAAATCCTGTTTGCTTTTGTTTCTAGTCCGTATCTAGTCGTGTGAGAGAAAACAGAGATACTCCAGTCCGTCATGCAGACACGCAAATATTAGGCTATTACACCACCGTGCTTCATAATTATTAATGAAAAACGAGGATTTGAATAAACGTAATTGTGTTACTTGTAATGTGAGGAATCCCCCAGGGTTTATCTGGACCTCATTATTTGAGCTTTTACACTAAAATCATTATGTCCAGATTGACAGGGTTTCCAATATGTTCCGTTATAGCTCAGCTGGGTGTCCTGACCAGATGGATTACCTCCTCAGGCTCATGGGACCTCGACTTTTATCAGCAAATCCCACAGAGACACATTCACTCAGCCCGTGCAGTCTGTACATAATTAAAGGAAGTTAAGAGTTCAATTCGAAACCTTTTATTCGGACTAAAACATTTAAATCGTTTATTTGACTAAAAACCAGTACGAAATATTGTGCAATGGTGTAAAGAAAAACTTCTGAATTCAAAATACTGCATTAAGCTACGCACTAAACTACAAAATATGATCAAGTAATTGAAATAAATTAAATAGCTATTGTAAATACAAAGATATTGTTTTATAAATGTTTTTCTTACCATTTTTTTTTCCAAAAACTACAGATTTTTTTTTTCAATTCCAATTCACTTAAAGAAAACAAATAATAGGCCTATAATAAAAAAAAAAGATAAGTCGTATTTAACAATTCATGTTCCCCCTCAGTTTCTATCCATTTATTTTTCTTTCTGTAACAGGGGCATCACTTTCCCAATTGCTACCCTTTTTTGACACACACATCTGCAATTTGCAGCAAAACCATCAAACCATTCATCTCTGTGTTGTAGCCCTCTCTGTTTCAGAGCTGTTTCTCTTTTACTAATAAAACCCATAAAACTAGCGGAGGCACTGGCAAGCTGTGTCTTCAAGGCTGGATACACCTCTATGGGTTCACTAGCTTGAATTAATGGCATTTGGTCCCAAAGTTTGCTCAGCGGTCCCAGAGACAGTGACAGCAGTACGTCCTTTTAAACGAATAACAAAGGCTTATCATTTATCTGGCGGCATATGGGCCAGACCCCCTCTGTAGCAGGCCTGCTCTCTGTGGTGTCTGCCAATACTGTTGTCCTGTTGATTCCATTGTTGACATAGTTGTCCTGCCATGAGGAGCTAAAGCGTAGCAGGCACTTGTTTTATTCCTCGTCCCGTTTGGGACCTTTTTTTTTGTGTGGAAATTTATAAGCCAGATATGGTATATCTGGTTTGGTTTTACTGACTTGAGGTTAAGTTGGCACAAATGGTTAAAGAGGAAGCTGACATCCTGGTTTGCTACTTCAGCTTTCCTGAAATGTAATCCTAAGCCTTCAAGAACGGTAGCGAGATAATAAAGACAAAATTGTCATGCTTTTCAGGAACGCGTATGTGACGGAATGTCTGATTTGTTGCACATATTACAGGTGACAATGGTCCATACGAGGAGCTGTGCGTGAACAAAGGCAGAGTGGACAGCCGTGTTCCCGCCCAGGATAAGGTCAGAGGGTGCGCATGTAGTCATCCCCATAGCAACAAAGCCCCTCACCCCTGAAAGCAAATGTATTGTCATAAGATCAGAGGTCACGGTGCTCCCCATATGGTCGTGTGCTGCATAAGTCATTGATCTGTCGGGATGCTCCAAAGGAATTCCGAAAGTGTCACCGAAAGACTTTTAGAAAAAAGACAACAACTGCTCCTGAATGCCATAAATGCCTCCACACCAGCATAAATAGCACCATTCTGGCCTGATGGCGAAGGAAAAGAGCGGGAAGCCGGACTGCCCACACACTTGTGTTTGAATAGCCAAGATGTTTGACCTCACCAAAACATGGCGGAAATTAAAACGCAAACACGAGAAAGAAAAAACAAGATGTTTATTCAGGATAGAACTTTTGTCAATGTTGCGTTTTTGACACAGCACTTCATAAAAATCACAGTTTGGATTTTACTGGGGAATTGAATCAGTAGTGTTTGTAGGATACAATATTTATTTTTTTTTTACAAAAACTAGTACATTCATATTGGTGAATGAATATACATAAAAACATGATTGAGAGGACAGCGCTAAGTTTGTATGCTGCTGAAGTTAAACAGCATTCACAAATTTGTGTGCCTCTAAAAGCTTATTAGTGATTCATAAACAAGAGCAAAGAGCACACATTTTGTTCCTGTCAACAGAAATCATTTAAAAACACTCAGCAATTAATAACCCTCCAAAATAAGGTCACATTGTTCACATGTGTACTCCTAAAAAATAAAGGTTCTTTATTGGCATCTATAGTTCCATGAAGAATCTTTAGCATCCATGGAAACTTTACACGGCACAAAAACTTCTATATAGTTAAAAAAGTTATTAAAATATTCTTCACACTAAGAAAATGGTTCTTTTAAGAACTGTTGACTGAAAGGTTCTTTTGGGAACCCACTAGTTCTTCTATGGCATCACTGCAAAACCCCCTTTTAGAACCTTTATTTTTAAGAGTATGGAGCAGAAGTAGTCAAACCACTCACAAAAAGTATGGAAAACCCTTTTTTTAAATAAGACAATAACTGAATAAACAATATCAAAAACTCTAAATCATACTTAAACAATGGTATTCTAAAAATATGTGACCCTGGACCACAAAACCAGTCATAAGGGTCATTTTTTTGAAATTGAGTTTAGAAGCTT